GACGGGCAGTGGGGGCAGGGCAATAAGAGCTGAGCAGTGAAGGCCAGACAATAAGGGCCGGGCATTAAGGGCCGGGAAGTAGGGGCCGGGCAGTAAGTGATGGTCAGCAGAACCTGGCAGTGATCCTGGTAAACATGATCTTCAATACCACCCAACCGTATAAACTATTATGTTTCAGAGACGAAAAAAAATACGATTATCTCAGAATCTTACCCATTAATGCACCTCGGAGTTCATGGATTAATAACGAGGCGGCAGTAATGATGATAGACGCATATCTGCCTCAACTCGACGCCTTGGGGAAACATCTTGCAAAATCGGAACTCTTTCACAAGTATAATCTGGACCAACGCGTTTGGGAATCACACCAGCCTTAAGATTACCGAGATGAGATATTAGTTAATTACCACACTTGGCTTGCGAGCTCCTCCTATGTAATAAGTGGCTCGCGGCTACTTAAACAGGTGCTTAATTGGGAAGTAAAGTGACCTAGCTGGAAGGTGTTTCATACAGGTGTGTTTTGCTTGAGTACAAAGAGGCATTTGCATTATAGGCTGTCGGTGAGGTGCTAGTGATGGTTTCTGGCATGATTGAGGACTCCTAGACACTGATCATTACGACAGCTCACCTGGGTGGCTCAAGGTACCTGTGATTGGTGGTGGCGAGTGGTAAGTTAATTGGCTGACTGCAGGTGTACGTGGCACAATTAGTCGAGGTGGAGTGTAAAGTACAGGTATAAGGCAGACTGGCTGGGATTAGCATGAAGATATGGTAGTTGGTTGTAAGGTGGTGGTGGTAATGGTGGCAGTGATGGTGGAAGTGGTGGTAGTGAATGGGTGTTGGCGGTGGTTGTATGGTGGTGAGTGGAAGGGTGAAGAAGGGAAACAAGGAGACGGAAGGGGAGGAAGGGAGATGAAGGAAGGGGAGAGAGGAAAGGAAGGGGAGAGAGGGGGGGAGAGGGGGAGAGAGGGAGGAGTGTTTTGGAGGGAAATGGAGGATTAACAGAGGAAATGGGTATGAGATAAATTGGGAGTTGAGGAGGATCAGGGAGGAAGCAGGAACGTTGGGGGGAGTAGTGGGAGGAGGTGGGGGGACAGGGCAGACATACCGGCCCCGGACGCAGGACCTAGCTAATGACTAAATAGGATTAGCTCAAGTCGGTCGGAAGACAACTGAATTTTTTTTGTCTTATCCCACCGACGACCGAACTCAGTGGATAGAATATCGACTGACATAAAATAGGTTGATGTTATCAGTAAAAGGGTGAAATTAAAAGTGCGTCGCCCCATTGCTCACGGGTAGAGTTTCAGTGGAGTACGGATCCACAGGTAAACACGCCAAGGTGTCTTAGAAGGATCCCAAACCAGGTGAATCTTTAGAGCTGTATCATGCTCCTTGATGTTTACAAGGTTAATGATTATATTTTTTTTTGGGGGAGCACACACTTCTTATGCCATTTATTCATTATTATCCCTTAAGTTGCTTTCAGTAATTCGTAGAACTATTCTCTTTAAACCTACCTGAGTAAGTCTGTTTGTGGTCAACATATAGATTAATAAGGATCGTTCTTGCAATTTTACATAGTTCTTATCTATCATTATTTACGTCACACCCACCCACACAGACACAACTTAACGTTCACCAGCAAGTCATGAACCAGGGTCTTCAGAATGTATATAATTATAGTTATGCCGTCGTAGTTCTGCTGGTTGGTCATATCCTTTGCAGGTGATTGGCCACAGCCTCGATTCCCGACCGGAACATATGATTGGGTTCCCAGTTTGTGTAATGTGTGTGCGTGTGTGTGTGTGACATCAACCCAAGTCACATATCTTTCCCATCTCCAACAATCGATTCTCTACCTCCCCCCCTCTCCTTCCCTCCCTTATTCAAACATTGATTTTACATATCTCTAAAACATCTCTCCGTTCATCTCACCTATCGATTATCTCTCTCTCTCTCTCTCTCTCTCTCTCTCTCTCTCTCTGTCTCCCTGCCTTCTTAAATCATACACGAATTATCAGATTAATCTAGACCTCCAAACACGGATTAGTGGTGGCCTCCGAAACAGTACACTGGGAGACAAAATCTGCCGTTGTCTTGATACACGAGCAGGTTAAAGTGACGCCGCGTCCTCTGCTTGGCTTAACAACTCATCCGTCGGGTGAATTGGCCTTGTTATAAATAGTTTAAGTTTAACCCTTGAAGGACGATAATTTAATTAACCATTGGAGGACGATGGCTTAACGCCTTTGATGACGATGGCTTTAATCCTTTGATAACTATGGTTAAACCCTTTGATGAAGATGGTTTTTACCCTTAGAGGACGATGGTTTAAACCCATGATGATGATGATGATGATGATGATAATGGTTTAACCTTTGAAGATAATGGTTTAACCTCATGAGGACGATGGTTTAACCTTTGAAGACAATGGTTTAACTCCAAGAGGACGATGGTTTAACCCCATGAGGATGATGACTTAACCCTTCAAAGACGATAATTTAATAATTTGAAGACAACAGTTTAACTTTTTTTTATGACTATTGTTTAACCTTTTATGGACGACGTTTACTTTTTAATCCTTTGAGAACCGTAACTTAATCCATTATTTGCAGTATGATTGTGGTAACTGTTGTCTTTGTATATTTATCTTTCTTTCTTATTTAGTATTTCTTGCACTCACTCTGTTTCGTTCCTTCACTTTCTGTTTCTTTAGTGAGAGAGAGAGAGAGAGAGAGAGAGAGAGAGAGAGAGAGAGAGAGAGTCACCCATACTTTACGTGCATTGCCCAGTGATTCTTATCTCACGGTGTCTTCTTCGGATGATCACATTTGCTAACGAACCTTCAGCAGTGGTAGATCAAGGCAGTGTCCCCTTAACCTATCATTCGCTCACAACCCAACACTGATTTACAATCTATTACTGTGTTTCTCTAGCGATTTATAGTTTTCCTTGCTATTTCTCTTTCACTTCCCTTCATTCTTCCTTCCTTCCATTAATCCCATTGAGGTGTTGTGTGTTTGGGTAGAGTGGTGAATCAGCTATCTTCTGGCTAACGCGTCATATATCGTCTGTCTTTTGGTTTTCAATATCATTTCACCGCTAGTGTGATTTGTCCTCTTTGGTACCTACCACCTCGAATACCTGGTCAAGAGTTACCTTCTTTCTCATTTTCCTTCTCTTCTTCCTCCTGTTCCTCCCCTTCCTCCTGTTCCTCCCCTTCCTCCTGTTCCTCTTCACCCATTCCCCAATTATGCAACTGTATATTTTCAGCCTTCCGTTAATTATTATTATTATTACACACACACACACTCAAAAGCATCATAGGCACCCATACCTTCACTCAGATAAAGACAACGTTAATCCACCCCATACTCAATCTACACGACCGTTCACAGGCAAATGGACACTGCACACTCACATAATCTTATGACTATACAAGTACTCACAAAATACACCTCGTAAAAATAACAAGAATATTTTTTTTTTACGCTATATCTGCCAAGTTCAGCCTGATTTATATACCTCAGTTGCTGGAGATAAATCGTGTGATTCTTTTTTTTTGTCACTAAACGAACGCAACGAATATATAACCTTTCTCCGACGCGTTATGGCCAAGAAATATTATACGTATTTCTCAAAACAAATTCGATAAGTTCTCAACGCTGGCATAAAAAAATGTAAGAGAAAAAATAAAGATTTTTCTCTTTATCTCTTGTATGAAAGTGGAATTCAGGTACACATTCACAGCATGGTCGACTGGAGGTGCCCCCCGCGTTTTATTCAGTCGGCGGTCCGCTCTTGTGTAATAAGGACAAAATATACGAGTTCTCAAACCTGGCATCAGTGAGAGAGAAAAGAGTTAAAAATATCCCCATCATTTCTTGTGTGTCAGAGGTTAAACATTTACATATTTTTTTCCGTCGTGGTGAAGAGAAAATTGTGAATAAAAAATATTAAAACAAAAAATTTGCTCTTATTATTTTACCAGTGAAGGGAGGGGAGGGAGGGAGGAGGGAGGGGAGGGAGGGGAGGGAGGGGGGAGGGAGGAGGAGGGGGAGGGGGAGGAGGGAGGGTGAGGGGAAAGAAAGGAAGGATGAAAGGAGGGGAGATGTACGGGAAGGGGAGAAGTAAGGAGGAGAGGAGGAGGAAAGGGGAGGGTGAAGGGAGAGGGGGGAAAAGAAGGAAAAGGGGAGGGAGGGAAGGAGGAGGAGGTTGTGAGGGAGGGTGAGGAGGATAGGGAGAGGGTGAGACGAAGGGATGGGAAAGAAGGTAGGATGAATGGGAAGGGAAGAGAAGGGATGATAGGGTGCTGGGGAGGGTGTGGGTGAGGTGAGGGAAGGGGAGGGAGGGTGAGAGGGAGGGGAGGAAAGGGAGGAAGGAGGGTGAGATGCAGAGGAAGGGGAAGGATGGTAGGAGGGGAAGGGACGCACAACACCTCAGATGGTCGTGTTGTATGGTAAATTTACCTGGTCAATTTATCTCTCTCTTTCCTTCTCTGTCATAACTCTACCACCATGACCACCACTACCACTACCATCGTCACTACGACCACCACCACCATCACCATTTCAGCATCAAATCGGAGACGCCCAGCGGTAGGTAATACCGGGCTAACACCACCACACTGGCACCACGATATTAACTACCACAGGGAAATATAAGAGAGATCACAATCACTACACTAATTTTTGTGGTAGAGAGGACCCGCCCTCCTCCCCCTCACCCACCCCTGACCATTATGGCTACAGATGGTGTCTATAATGCCTAAAATTCCTTATCCATTTATATACGTGTTGAGTTTATCTTCATTAAAACAAATACTAAAAGTAAACAAAGACAGCAAAATAAACATCCACAGTAGAGTAATTAAGAGATGTGTTTTATTCTTGTACGAGAAAATTTATCCAGCTTTTCACGTTCTTCCGGTGGTGGATTTAACTCTAGAATTTCGGACACTGCCAGCCCGCCAGACCAGGGCTTCAGTAGCGCGAGAGCCACCGAGCAGTGAGGAGGTGAAGTCTGGCGGTCTGTACGACGTGGGCTGTGTGTGCGTGGTGATGATTGGCGACGCTGTGCGAGTCTTCTAGTCAAAACTTATCCAATAAAAACTTGCGACTTGAAACACACATTATATTTTCATCAGCTGAGGGAAACTTTTGGATTTATTAAAAAAAAAAGTGTAATACTAACTGAAGAATTTCCACCATATAATACGAAAGTTGTTATCGCGAGGATATCTTTCCGCGATGCAGATTACGTATAAATAACGTATCTGTGGGCGAACTGGACTGGTGAGGGTGGCCAACAATTAAATGATAATCGGAGAGTGTAGTTATGGGTGTGTGTGACCTATAAACAGTGATCGCCAGGTATAAGAGTCCCAGTGTTAGAGGCAGTTGGCCAAGCTAGTGAGCGAAAGGCAGCAACAGGGAGGAAATCTTCAAGTGACAGCCACCGACACCACGACACTATGGTAAGTCCCTATTACCAGCTTAGAACACCCGGCGACCTGACTCATGAGTTCTACTTCACACAGACCCTAACCTAACCTAACCATTGAGTTAGGTTAGGATCTGTTAGGACTGGGACACATTCACCCAGCCATCGAACATTTATTGTCAATTATAATTTTTTTTAAATAAATAGGTAGCTGATAACAGTCGTCCTGAGCCAAGATTGAGGCCAGTGACTCGTGCCCGTGGTGAAATAAGGTTACTGGTAGTGTTTCTTCATGTCATGTATTAATAGAAGGGGAGTAACCTTGCGACAGGAGAATGAAGGTTTATTTATACATAAAACAAGTTGGTGGGTGGCAGCGTACCAACATATACTAAAACCACCAAGTTTTTTTTCTTCTAGAGTAAACTGATATATGTATTAATAATTCCTATATATTTTATAAAGATTTAATCTGTGTATACTGTTTTATGGGATTATCTGATAATTTGCTCCCCCTCAGCTTATTTCACCTAAAGATTAACCACCCTAAGCTTCTTGGGGCGGGGGGGGGGATTAGGTTAGCGTTATTGTTGTTAATCTTTGGTGAAATAAATTCGGGAGGTTAATCTTCAAGTGATTCGTTATTTGTGTTATATCGACGTATCAAAGAGTATGCTATTTGAAATGTATCAGATGTATGGTATAAAAAAATAAAATATAAACAGATAACATATAGTAGAGTATTTAAAGAAGTAATTAACCAAACGAAGCTTTCTGTGACGTAATCTACAAAACAACACAGTCTGACAGTTGAGGAGAAAAAAAAAACAGGAAGAAAACAGAGCAAAAAGTAAAGAAGAGCAACGTCTACAACATTTTGGCAGCGAGTGTTCAGGAAATCCACAGCACTTCCCACACTTACTTCCTATTAAGTCCCTCCCCCCCTCCGGTCTTCCGCGCTAATTCCCTTTTAATGAAATTTTTGTTGCAGAAATAGTTATCTAAATGCCCGTATAATTCTTTTCCTTTCCCACGGTGTATGTGTGTGACTGCTCCGGCGGAATTATAGTTGTGTTTATGTCAAATTTGTCAGTTCTTAGGCCGAGAGGGTTAAACCACCGCCTTTAAAGAGCTCAACTAACGTCCTTAAAGATCTAAAAGTTAAACCATCGTCCTCAAAGTGTTACACCATAGTCCTCAAAGGATTAAACCATCGTCCTCAAAAAGTTAAACCATCGTCCTCAAAGGGTTAAACCATCGTCCTCAAAGGGTTAAACCATCGTCCTCAAAGGGTTAAACCATCATCCTCAAAGGGTTAAACCATCGTCCTCAAAGGATTAAACCATACTGTAGTCCCCAAAGGGTTAAACCATCGTCCTCAAAGGGTTAAACCATAGTCCTGTTTCTTCATTGTCGTCCACATCATCTTGCTTCCTCACTCACTCCTCATCACCTTCACCTATCGCTGCCGTTCAACCCAAACCTCCAGTATAGTCAGCCCTACAGTTGCTTCCTCTAACAGGAATTTAACTACCTCCCTTCAAGCACTTAACTCTATAGTATTTAATCGTTACTCTGTCAATCCTGTAAGTATATCCTCATGCCTTTAGCCACCACTAACTCAATCTTAACCCCTGGAAACACTCCCTTTAAGCACTAACGTTTCCACCTTAAGTGCATCACAAAGTTCTCAATCCTCTCAGATCCTTACCATCACCACCACCCTCACTCCGGTAACCACTCGGTCCCACTCCCCCTCCTGCGGGCACTCGGTCCCTCTCCCCTCCGGTAAGCACTCGCTCCCTCTCCCCCTCCGGTAACCACTCGATCCCTCTCCTCCTGCAGGCACCTGCTTGTTGTGCCTCCTGTTTCACAGCTTCTACCGCTATATGGCTGACTTACTCTGCACCCGTTGACCCAGATCACACACACACACACTCAACAAAAACAACTGCAGCAGGGAATGATTCATGAACCCCCCCCCTAAGATCACACACACCCCAGCTATTTTCAACACACTTGTAAATATCCCGAGGTCCAAATACCGTCCCAGGAGTGTGTGTGTGTGTGTGTGTATGTATGTATGTATGTATGTGTGTGTGTATGTGTGTATGTGCGTGTGTGTGTGTAGATTTTCTACCGCTGTTGAAAAATTGAACTGCAAATATCAACATCGATTTTTTTTACACAATTTATTTCTGGAGTGAAACTCGGGAAGAAAGCTGAGAATAAATGTTACTTACCAACACATATGAGGTTAAAGTTGGCCTACTTGTGATGATGGGACGCTACAAATACACTTAAAAATAGCCATTACTTATAAACACTTGAGGAGAGCCTTGTATTAAGTACTTTTGTGATTTAACTTATTAACAATCGTTATGTATACTTGAGTGTTAAGATGGATCCCGTGTATGACTGTATACATCCACGTTGTATACATTCAGGAATAAAAATGTATATATGCAAGGTTAGGTTGGTATTATGCTCTTGAAAAAAATATATATGGTGATGTTTGATGTAAAGTCAGTGATGAGGTCAATGATGAAGTCAGTATCAGTAATTAAGTCATTATTGGGGTTAGTAATGAAGTCAATATCGAGTCAGTGGTCAAGTTGTGACGTCAGAGATGGAAGTTAATAACGAAGTCAGTGGCCATGTTAGTGGTGATGTCAGTGATGAGGTCCATAATGATGTCCGTGGTGACATCGATAGTGAGGTCAAACATGAGATCAATAATGTAATCACTGGTGATGTCCGTAACGAAGTCAGTCATAAGGTTAGTCATAACTCAAAAGTGGCAGCTTGAGTGAAGTCAGTAATGAGGTCACAGGTATATCTATCATCCATGAATTCAGATTAAAACTTACAATATTATTCATTACATCAGCTGATTCTTCACGACTTCTGCTTATTATTAACGAAATCAGCTTAAAATTATTCATAACCTCAGTTTACTATTCATGACTTCAGCTTAATATTATTCAAGATCTTAGCTTACCATTTATGGCCTCAGCTTATTACACATGACCTCAGCTTACTACACCTGACTTCTGCTTACTACACATGACCTCTGCTTACTACACATGATCTCAGCTTACTACACATGACCTCAGCTTATTATTCACATCCTGAACTCTTTCTTCATGACCGCAGTTTATTAGTCATAAAATCGTATAATGGCAATGTGGTATAACTCCTTGTTCATCAAAAATTAACAAGCTGTGGGACTCATATGCAAAGAACGTAACACTTTTTTTTTGCAACTTCCACTGCAAGATAACGAATGGGGTATTTTTTGTTGGGTTATATCAAGTCAATGATCATCTTTCTCGATTCACTGACCAACTAATGAGACGAAAGAACTTTTTCTCCTAACCCCAGCAAGCTATCTTCTGAGCCCACTCGCACACTGCTGTTGGGCGTATGGTTTTTTTTCTTCAGTTATGATAAATCTGCTTTTGATGGCAAATTTAAACCATTATTATAAACAAGATATAATTACATAATATTACTGTGCTTTATGAGTATTATTTTAAATTTAGGTAAGAAATGATATTATTCATTGACCTGTACGAAATCCTCTCTCTTTTCATCCATTGCTCGGGTCAGTCAGTGTTATCGACAGTTTGAGAGAGGGAATTCACGCTCCGTCACCATCCTTCGTCTATGTCTGTGTGTTAGTATGATAAATATTTGCTTCGTAATTTCACATCTACAGTCGAGATCAAAAGTCTGTGTGATGTAGTATTAACCCTAAATTCACCTTATGTACTCTCCTTCACTATGTGTACATTGCTAACAACACCAATGGTCCCTCAAGCATTCTCACCCTTCATCTAAGTCAAAGAAAACAAACATGACCTTCGCTGCTTCCCTTCACTGTTGGGCACTGTAATGTTTTTGCGCTTCGCCTTGCACAAGATGCAAAGGGGTGTACAATAAACTAGCCCCCACGTTGCATAGGAAAATCTTAATCTTTCTCTCTACCAGTTTCCTTCCTTCCTACTCCAAGAGAAAGAGAGGCGTAGTACAGGTCCCCGGGGAGGAAGGTCGAGTGAGACACGCCTTACACGACACAACTCCCTCCTGAACCAGTTCCCTTCCCCTTCTCTCCACCACCCTTCCTTCCTTCCCCCTTATACGTTCACTTGTGATGACATAGACAGATGCCAGATGGAAGGACAACACACAATCTTCAAAGAGTATTTCTTAACAGTGACAGAAACCTCCCTTCCTTCCGCCCTCACCCCCCTCCGTGACGAGAATATTGATTGAGAATTAATTAACTCTGAAAATAGAAAACAAGAGAAAGCCATAGATCACCTGAAGATTAGTCTCCAGCTTAAATCACCTGCTGTTTAAGCGCCCTGTCAGTACCTGTGGTTATGTTATGTTAGCGTTTGGTTGGATAAAGGAGGTGAAATAAGCTATGGGAGCTAATCTTTAGGTAATTCAAACACACCAACAGTTTTAGGGATACTTTGTGTAAATTTAGTACAAGAGGGAAAATATATATAGACAATTTTCTGAGTTTGGAAGTCGGGGGTTTAGTCAAGAATGTTAGGAAGACCAGGAAGAACGACACAGTGAGAAGAGGCTTTGTTTTGAAGTTTTCTTTTTTTTTTCTTTCACAACGCTGATCTCTATTGCGTAGGTGGTGTTACAGTCTGGGAAATATTGCCAAGTCTACAAACCACTCTTGAGAAACATCTGGCTCGCATTATGTCTCTTCTCTGAGGCAGGGAAACAAGTACACCTTGACGGAGACTGATTTCCACAATATCTTCAAGATTACTGTTTGTATGTAAGTTAAAGCACCGGATGGCATTAGTACACCCGTATTGTGCACCCAAATCTATACTGGTACTTGTATTTTTTAGTTAACTTTCCTATTTTAACTACGACAGTCAAGAGCTTCACCAAACACCTATTTTTGTAAACTACAACAACACTCAAAAGATATACATTGAAATATTTCCCTTAATAATTACTAAGTGTTGTGAATTTTCTCATATGCTCTCTCTCTCTCTC